CGTTTTCTAATCGCCTCGTTACTGACACGCTGACGCCATCCGAAACCAGCCACGCTTCTGAGGCATCGGTGGTCGAAAACCTGAAGACGCCTCACATCATTTGCCCACAGAGGCCATGTCTCGCACCGATACAACAAACGATAGGCGACTGGTAAGTCACCTCCCCGTCACATCATCACCATCATCGACAGCATGACATCAGTGTTCAACACCGATATTTCACTGTCGTCACAACAGTTTATGCATCAACCAACTTCAATGAAACGGACTGGCTAACCTAGCTTCCCTATGAAGTCAGTGTCATGCATAATGATTGATTCGAAAATCATGGGCTTCTCGAAGAATGTCGGATCCAGCAGGTTACTCTGGACATGCAAGCAATCTTCTATGATACTCCATGGATGTTACAGAGGAAAACGGTCATTCTGAGTGTTGAACATGAACTTTAGCTGGCAAAAAGCAAAAGCAAAAAGCACTGTCAAGTGTCGGTGCTCAGGTTTTCATCTCTCAAGTACAGCTGAGTGGATTTCCAGTGATTAGTAATGGTAACCTACTTACCCCTGTCAGGAAAAAGCTCCTTCATCAGTTGGAACATTTCCCAGAATCCGAGACGCAACACTGCGGCCTTCGTATTATCACCCACAGCAAGCCCATCGGCAATGCCAGCAGCAATAGCCACGACATGCTTAAGTGCACCACATAGTTCGACCCCGACCGCATCCGGCGAAATGACGAGACGGAAATAACTGGTCTGGAAAAGCCGGATTCAGGAAGTCATGAGTTGAAAGTAACGCGAAAAAACAATGAGACGCAAAGAAACTGAATAAACAACATCTAATCATGTGAGGTCACTAACATAAACCGAAGTCAGCAAGCAAAAAATCAAACCCAAAGCTTGGGCTTCAGAACAATTTAGTGTTTACGTTCGGTAACCTAAAAGACATTCAACGTGCAATAAGTGCGTCACGTTCGAAAATTTTCATCAATCTGATTCGAGTTAGACTTTGTCTCTAAATGGTATGCTGTGGTTAGGTGGGGTAGGAGTCAGCAGTCATCATGGAAGGAATACTGGGGAGTTGACTCCTGTCATTTCCACGTTTTAGCTTAAAGTGGTTCTGTTAGATAACCGGTTTTTATCTTCATTGGAAAATCGTTCTGTTGGGCTCCAGGGAACTGAAAGGATCGTTTTACCAACATTCGAGGTACTAACTGTAGTATTAACTCTGTACATCAGTTACTCACTTTGAGCACGTCGAGTGTACTTTTTCTCGGATTTCTACAGACCATGATACTCTTTGCCTATTCCATCTTTGACCAGTTTCTTTTCAAGGCTGATTGTCTCCGAATAAATCCCTTGGATCATTGTACTTTCAACTGACACACTACGAGATTCAACTTCGTCTGTTTGTGCTGTTGTGCCTATCGCTGTTCCAGTGGTTCCGACCATTCCATTTGCGAAGCAATCAAATCCATTTTGATTTTGAGTTATATCGTTGAAATCCTGATCCTTCATGAATCTCACGTAGAAAAACGTTTGCTCAATTGTTTTTGAATTGTCGACGTAGAGCTTTTTCCTTCCCGATTTCCGACCAGTGGCCTAACATGAACATGGACAGTGCGCATATCACTGACCTTTTCATTAAAACGAATCCCTCTTAGAAAAGCGTCTTATGTGCAGCGATGCTTGGTTCTTTGGAACACCGTGCTGCCGCCCAAATATCCCTCTTCCATCTGTGTCCGTCTTAAGCAAAATATTATGGAAATATCTGCCGGCGAATTAAGATGACGTTTGTGACTATAGCACTGCCTACCAGTAGGATGCGGTGATTTTGAAGCGTGTATCTGCGGTTTCCAATGATGACATATCTCTTTTTGTCCCCCACCGTTTCAAACCAGTAAGATATCCTGCCCTGACTAAGTTTGTTATGTATGGTCCCGAAATGGGGAGAAATAGAACTGAACGTTAAACGATTAAGTTCACCAGTTATCCTCGTCTTCCAACTCTGGCTTCATCGCTGAACGAAACTCCTGTAACGCTTGTGTTATCAAGCCGAATCGAACCCAGTAAAACGGAAGCAAAAAATTGCCTCTGCTTTACAGAAGGTGGTTTAGGATTTACTCTCTTTCAACCCACTAGAACCGAGCAATGTTCCTCCAATCCTTTTAAAACTGTGTAGTTCAACGTGTACCAAACTTCCTCATCGCTCCTTCGCCACTTGTGTTTCCCTCTGCATTTTAGGTTTCATATTAGTTTAACTGCGGAACAAGGTGATCCACCCACTCCTAACAACTATTGTCCTACTTCCATGACTCGCTTGAAACATATCAATGGAATGCGAATCACCAGGCGGCCACTGCTAAGCCTCCAACGTCGTAAACTTTTCCGTGGTCATCAACGTGAACTTCGAACAAACACATGGATGACGTCTGTTAAATTACATCCGGTGAAACCGAAACTGTTCTGTTCTCCAAGGCTCTTAACCCCGTCTGGAACGTTGACCTCGTGCCTGAATTTCCTACGACCAAGGCTGATTGGATTGATAGGCGATTGGCCAATAGGAATATGTATTGGCTGTGCACTCGGAAACTCTGAGGGCAATCACTAAATCGGAGCTTACCCAGTTCTTATTTGTCGGTGATTTGATTTCCATCAAGTCGTACTTCAATCATGCATCCGCAATTGACAACACCCTACTTGGTTCATCCCCTACTCTCCACAATGGTTAGCAGTCCGTCAATTGCTCACAGGTGGCACGACTCCTAACGTCAACGACAACATGGACGCTACAGAGATTTCGCAACTGGGGATCAGCAAGTGAACTTAACTTTAAATCATCCAAAACCCATCGCACGCATGTTCTCCTTGGGTCCATTTCCTCTCATTAGACTCAGCCACCATTACTGTTCACTAACGTGTCAACGCTGGGTTTGTTTCCCTCATGTAGTCTTTCTTGGTCTAATCATATAAAAAATCCCCAATAGCATCCAAAAACTGGTTCTATACTGGACTCCCGGAAGTACTTCAACAAATTTTAATTTTATTGGTTCACAACCTAGACTCTGCGGTTTTTTACCGCTACCAACAGTCACTGTTCGTTATAGCTTGCGAATACGGTCCCGTGTCGTGCCGTGTTCATCGTTCCACTCATTACTGCGAAAGTTGCTACCGATTCTAGGTGATTATTCTCCGTCTTTGGACCGAACTCAGCTTTCGGGCTCAAAGGATTTTACAGTGCTGTTTTGTCATGCACTTCAATCAAGGGACTTAACACTCGATATGAAAAACGGCATCTGTTCGCAGTGTCACCCTGTGCCTCTCTGATGCTGAGAGAGATACTTGCTACCGAGAAATGTGAGGCAAAAAGCCAATGCAATTGACCCAGTCCTACGGGACCACATCTAGGCGGTTGATTAGGAGTTGGTGATTTCGGCTCAAGCAACCAGGAGCGGTTGACCACGTACGCGCTGAACACCAGCTGTTGCCTGCCAGCACCGATTTTCAACATAGATATGTCCAACGTATAAACTGATGAGCACAGAAATCAACCATGGGCTCGATTGCATCATGCAGCTATCTCCTACACGTGGAGACCTACAACTCAAGATACCGTTTCTTCCGAGACCGGCAACTTCGTTCCAACGAAGCTATAGTACGTGCACGTCTGACAATTCACTATTCCTCGGAAGCTGGCATGTTTAAACAACTTGAGGTTGCCACAAAACTATCTAAGGTGAACCAACACAATGTCGGTTGTTACTGAAATCCGATCGGTACTGAGTAACTCAAGTCGAATCAAAACAAAGTCGACGGCACTGTAATGTGGACATGCCAAAGGGTGGCAATAAAAACATACCTCAACTAAGAACCGTCCGGGTCGACGATCTCCCAGACAGAGTAACAAAAAGACGGTGTGCACGACAGACGATCAATAAACGGAATGACGCTGACCGCGGCCGACAGTGCACTGACCGCTATTGAGTCCGTAAGAGACGAGAAAGAAAACAAAGAGATAAATGGATGACAAAACCGATGGACTAGGGAAATAAAATAAAAGCCTCGGTTCAAAAATGCCGTATGAACACACAAGAAAGGGTCCTGGGTGTAAAACTAAATGACCAAATTTTGGTCAACAATGACAAAGGACGGGAACAACAAGTACAAGCAAAATAGGGAGAATAAATGAACAGAAGCGATTAAAGGAGAAACATCTGGAAAACAATTATCGCCTGTCGCACTGGCAGCAAATAAGTGGATAAGGTACGATAACATGTTCAGCAAAATAATCCCGTGACGTCCAAAGCTGGTTGTTCGATTTCAGTACGGCCAACTGATCACTGGATTTCGTTGAGATCAATAATATTGACTGGGTTTAAGAAATCCACATGAATAGATAAGGTGCAAGATGATACGAACAGATCCTTCAAAAGTGAAGTGCTGAAGAATATGGGGAATGGTCCAGGGCTCTAGTGGGTCATGACGGTTTGTGAATTCGAGAAGGTTCCTGTAACCGGAAACAGTCATCTGGATCCACTGGCCAGAGGACTGTGAGAGTGCGCGAGATGATCAATGGGAAAGACGACTCAGTCATTCATTCACAGGAGTGCCTTCTGAAGAGATCCGTCATGCACTCTGAAGAGCAATTCAGCTGGTATTCTGCACCACAGCCCCGAAGTCGATGCGTACAGATAAATGAGGTGCAAATCATGGTCGAAAAAAGTAATGGAACGGGTATTCCAATAAACAGCAGCTGACTATTAGACGAAGAAATGCGTGAAATATCCCCTTGGAAACGAAAACACCTCACGTCCGGACGTTTTGTACGAGACCCTCCATATGGAGTGACGATAAAGCTAACATCAGTAACTCAAATATTCAGGAGCAGTACGCGAACATTGAAGGTACCATCACGCTATTGGCCTGGTAGTTGCAGCATCCAAGGTGCTCTCAAGCCTTGTCTCCCACGGGTTGACTGAACACACACACACACACAGAGTGACGGGTTGGTGAGAATGAAGCTTGGTGCGCAGATGAGATTTTTGCTAGAAGGCTGCCTTCGAATCCCTTGATCGTCGAGCGAATTCCTCACTGTCATACGCCAAGTCCCCTGAACGCGTGAAGGTACTCGACAAGGACTTACGTGAGTCTAAGAGATTAAGGTGTCCAGAAAAGCCGCTCCTCCACCTTAACCCGTCGACTTTGTTGTAACTATGGTCAGGGTAGATTCTCTCCCAGCCTGACAACTGTGGAACTGAAAAGTTTTGAAAACATTCGCTCACAGACGTTGAATCGCAAGCAATGCCTCGATTAAATACCCTACCAAAATATTTTTTAAATCAAGATAATTCTGCCATACAGCTTGGAGCATGCTCTGCACCAAAAAAGTGCAGCGTGTTGCTGCAAGATTAGGTGGGATGTAATGCTAGTCCCACGTTGGCATATCAACCAGACGGGGTTGTTTATCTAGACGGCTGTACACCCGGTTGTTCGGTTAAAGACGATATCACCATCGGATAGGCAAGGCCAGCGAGGCTTTGGTCAAACTGCAGCATATGTGGTGCATACGGGTATCAGCTTGTTTACCAAAGATGAAGTTCACAAGTGGTTAAGTAGGCCAGAAACCTGATCATTACGAGGCGAATTCCTCAAACTTTGACGGTGGGCGTATTCATCTGGTTACCCGAGTTTGGTGGAGACATCACTAAAGTAGTGCTGAGGCATGCTGGATAACATTCACAAGATAGATGATAGATGAATGGATGATACTCCGGTGATTGCGTTGGTTTGGAATTGTGCTTGATATGATGGTGATTCGACTCGGGCGAAGAAATCTCTGCACGCAACGATGAGAAGAGTGAAAGTAAGCTAGAGTAGGTCAGGCCATCACTTGACGGGAAAGTAAGGAAGACATAAACAGCGACGGCGGGTGCGTTGGCAACTGGCTTTTCTTGCATAATAGCTTCAAGAGGTTAGATGCATCGCCAGACATGATCGAATCGGGCACCAGACGGCGCGCATCCCACGCGATCACTTTCACTTCCAAAAAAATCATTCAGCTGTAGCACCCTTTCGGTGCGTAACTGCCATGCCATCCGAAGGTTGCACGAGGGCTGGGATACTGCCAGGTTGCCCAAGCCTAGACAAAGGAGTCGAGAGGCAGAGATCGGGTTCGAAACACGGACCTTCCGGTCAATAAATTCGCGCCCTAACCACTTGGGCCATCTCGCCCCCCACCGCTATCCTGTCAAAAATACCAGCCACTGTCTCCGATTCGCTGTTGACAAGTACTGACAGTTGTGGCCGCCGTACAGCATGTACGCGGCTCACAGATGATACTGAGCCCAAAAACCAGTTTGTTTGATGCTGCAAGGATACTTAAACAAATCCAGAAGGCGATACTAATGAATTGTACTATTGCTAGTATGCTCGAAAATGAAAGTTTCGTCCAAATGACGGATAAGAATTTGTTGCCGCTAATATGGTGATCGAAGGGGAACAAGGTACGTTGACTGAGGAGGTTGTCAGTGACACGATGATGACGAGGGCAGTGAGGACTAGGATCCGAACGTCTTACTCTGCTTCCGAAACAAAGATACACAGACACTGAGTTTCCTTGAGTCAATTTGTAATGTTGATGAATGGTCTGATTAATGTGTAGCAAGAAAACCGATGCACCTCTAGGTCAGTCGAATATTCCAAGTTCAAAGATGAACCAAATAAACCAAGTTTCCGTTAAAAATGTCTGGTCAAAGTCAAAATGAAAATCTAGGAAGCCTTAGCACTAGAAAGGGTTAAATTAATGAGAGAACAAACTCTAAGGAATAACCTGAAGTAATCTTTTCGTCTGTTTAGCCAGTTCGAGGTCCGTTGAACCAATCGTTGCCTCGGTATAGTGTTGCCATGCCACTTCAAGCGCAGTAGTAGCACCAATCACGGTCAAACAAGGTCTTCCAGTCTTTTCATGGACAATATCACTGACTAGGCGGAGACAGGTTTCATCATAATCGAGCACAACGCCCTGAAAAACAGTGAATCATGACTGCAGGTCAGAAGACGGTACAAAAAATTCCGAACTAAGAATTGATAGGAATTTATGCACCTATCTATAATAGAAGAGAAACAATAAACTTGCCTTCATCTCTTACAATCCTCGACGGTGACAGTAGCTTCCCGATACGACGGTGACACTTAAGCGCCAAACAACTTCCATCAAGTATAAAAATACCCACGATTTTCTGACCGTTGGAAAATAACTGCAAAATGTAGGTGCGCTGCAGAAGCAGCGTAAACAGTAAGTCTGGAACAAGAGCTACAGAGTTCCAGAAAAATGCCCATTGCAGTTTTTAGTAAGCAATTATATTCAGCAAAATGTGGCGAAAGGAAAACAGTTACGCCTCAGGTATGGATGAAAGCAACTGTGATTAAATGCTGTGACCCAATGTATTCCGGATATGGGGTGACAATTACCTTCCCGTTCTAGTTAAGAACGGGAATGATGAAGGATAAATAAACCATGAAAAATCATCGACAATGTGGCAACTGGCAGTTCTACTCCAGACGAAACTGACAAAATAGAATCACGTATAAGACATGAAAGAATCCAAACTCTATCAGCTCAAACCCGATTGATTGCGTTGTATTACTTTCCCGTGATGGCGGTAAGGCTCAGCACCGCAAAGTCACCAAACTGAGGGATTTCGAAGACTATAATTAATTCCACTGGCTGAACACATATTTAGACTGGCATTGATATGGCGTCCAGATCACTACATTTACTGATCCAGATGGGAAGTGGAGAAAGCGTCGGGTCAAAGGACGGATATGCAACGAGACCTGAAGCACTCACAGTTCCAGTGTCTTGTAGGCTACTCAGGTCTGGAATACAGGTCTAAGGTAATTACGTGAAACTTTCAAAGACAATCGCCTGCTATCGAACCCACTGGTGTACAAGTCAATTTTAGTTGGTGCACATTCTTTTGCGAGCTCACATCTTCTAAGCAACCCGTTATTAATCGCAAATTTTCACGAAATTAACGTATCCAGAAGTTCAGAAATTAGCACTCTCTTGCTTTCGAAACATGGTGTCATTTCGGCACTCCGATTTCAGTGAAAAAAGACCAACACACTGAAAACCCTACATAGGTTAAAGCAGATATTTCTTGATAGCATCGAGTAAATAGATACTTGTCTGGCCATAATAGACAAGAAGTCGTGGTGTCCTGAAAGTCGAATGCGACCCAAGGTGAGCTCTTGGAGTGTAATAGGTCCCATTGATCCACTGTGGAAAATTACTTGGGTGGAACTCCTGAAAATCAAAGGATTTCTACCGGGTGGCGGCGTTGACCACATTTTCACACTCCGTCAGGTGTTCGAGCCACGTCACATGTGCAGACGACCCACAATCTTGGTATACATTGACTTCAAGGGTGCGTTGGATTGTCGGCCGGTCAAGGAAGCTTTTGGAAAGATCACCAAACGCTCTCAGACACACAAGTATGCGAATATAATGATTGAATTGTGTTCACAAACTTCTGGAGCATACCCTGTTGAGCGAATGCAGTTAATAGCTTAACTTTGCTAATTTGCGTCACTTGTGGCGTCAAAAAGGTGTACCACCGGGCTACAGTAAGAACTGTGTTGTTTCATGGCTGCGAGACGTGGTCTCTGCGGACAGATGATGTGGGGTCTCTTCAGGTTTTTGACCCCTGATGCCTCAGGAACACTGCTTATTTGGGATGGCATCAACAAATTCGTCACTGAGCAATTATAAAACGGGTATCTGGTTGTGTAGCAGATACTTCAATCGCGGAAAACATCTAGCACCATCAAAAATGGTGCCTCAGCTATTTCCTACGCATGCCGAAACAGTGCCTGTCGAGACGAGTGTTGTTCACTGTACCTCCTTCAGAATGGCCCGAACCGCAAGGTAGACAATGTATGACTAGGTAGAAGGGCGTTAAAAGGATTACCAAAAGTTTGGGTGCCGTTGGTGTTGTGCGCCCTCCAGGATGGGTCTGCGTGACCCCTCTTGCGCTTGGCTGGAGATATTGCAAGAACTGGTGACTGATCGAAGTCGGTGGTGCTCGTGCTGTCAGTTCCTTTCAAGATTGTCCAACTGAGTGTTTGGAGGTGTAGGCACTTCAGAATGCCTGACATAGGCCAGCACCAGGTCCCTTCCCCCAGCAACTCTTTTTCTCTTATTTTCACCCGAAAACATTAAGTATAATTAAATGAACTTTGTGGTTGTACAGCAGTGAGCATCAGTGTCAACACTGATGTTGCTGTCTCCAATGATGAAGATGATGTGTCGAGAAAGTAGGTTGCCAGATACCATGTCAGTTCTGACGAAAACGCTTACTCTGCCACTGGTTTTCAGCTTGGTTGGTACAGGTTCATTCTGATGAATGGTTTCATCATATATATATATATATATATATATATATATACATCGCGACCAGAAGACACGTTGAAAAAGCTACCTTAGGTTATGCGGTGTAACTTTAAGGCTCCTGTTTAGAAGGCATCCGAAGAACCAGTGGTGCACCATCGCGGCCATCCATTACTGGTATAGTTTTCCTGGCTTGAATAAGAGCTGACGATCTCGACGACGTTTACTTGGTGTGGTCAGATGATAGTGATATACGCATATTTTAACACATCTGATGACAGACTTGGTGTCTAGCCAACCATGGAGTGGGCGAAATGGGCCGCTTAGAGCGCGAATTTACTGACCGGAAGGTCCGTGGTTCGAACCCGATCTTTGTCTCTCGACGTCCCCTGTCTAGGCTTGAGCGACCCGGCAGTATCATAGCCCTTGTGGCTCCCTCGTGCGGCATGGCAGCTAGGCACCGAAAGGGTGCTACAGCTGAATGATCTTATTTTTATGCATCAACAACCGTGGTATATCATGCATATCAACCATGGAGTGAGAAAGGGACTCACAGGTAGAAAGTGAAAGGACGAGCTTAGTCATTAAACCAGTCAAAACGGCTCGCATTTTCTGGACGGTAGTAGTAGTGAAAAAGGTGCCATCATTAATCTCCAAGGCAACAACCTTCCCGAATTGGAGAACTTTGACACCTATTTCAGGCTGACCTTCCCATATACGGTGGATGTGTTCGATCGTGGAGTTGAATAGCGACGGAGGAACAGGTTATCTTGCAATAAGCAACCCGAAATGGTGGAGAAATGAGAAAGCCTATCGTGATCCCTAACAGCCAGAGGTTTGATGATAAATGACTTCAGCATCTGCAAATATTCCTCAGGTTGCGCAAACTCATCCGATCTACAGAGGCAAACGCTGCCATGCCAGCCAGGAAAACAATGATAGTTGATCTATGGCACGTGTAACCATGATCTGACAGCTGGCGAAGAGTGAAGATTTCATTGACAAAAGTAAGGCATGAGCAGAAACTGGTCGAGTTCTCACGTATCCGTTCTTATCACGAAGAAGACGCCAGCGATTCAGATGCAGGTGATATTAATTTTATGCCTCGATAGCTGTTATGACCCTTACGTGAAGATTTCTTAAAGATGGATGACCAGTGTATGTTGAGGGATCCGTTTCTACGGGGCAGACTTTATGGAAAGTGCATCAGTGCTCTCGAAATCGGTAGCCCTAATCCTTAAGAACAGTCCGATTCACATCATCAGAACTCTGTTTTATAAAGTTTCAGAACACCCATCCCACTGTAAATCTTCTCTTGCGTAGGAGAATCCATGAAGAAAGGCCAATGCATCAGGGCTAAACGAACCAGCCACTGTGTGGAAGGAACTGTCAATGGATTTCCATCCAGTGTTCCAGGCAGCTCCGGATATTTTGGGCTGCAGTACCACCCAAGTGAAGAATCAATCGCTAACACCTAGACGTGTTCTACTGGTTATATGTAATCTAGAACAGTTTCTGAGAGCTCAGCTACAAAGCAGCGGCCCACATCTCGAAAGCACAGTTGCACCGCAGACTCCTGTTAATCTAGTGTCTCAAAGAAAGGTGTGCAACCTCGTATAGGCTGTCTAGTGGTAGTAGGTAACGTATATCATAGTGATAGAGCGCACGAGAACTCAGTGGCCATCATGTCTTTAGGTTAAAGACTACTGCCATGGTTCACATCACGTATGTGTGTCCAACGTTGTTCTGATGGGAAGACCAGGATGGCGGCTAATTTCTTTAGTCGGAATGCTCTGACAACCAGTTCTTGTATGCGCGTTGTTATCTTCAAGCCCCCGAAAGCACCGACAATTCTGTAGCACTCGCAAACTGCCCTTTTTCATGCTCAGTATCATCTTCTTTTTCCCCCATCATTATCAGTCACATCGCTGTACAAAAGTTTGTTTTACTGAAATACAACCGCTACCGCACGCTCGTTGGCTCCTACGTGACTTTGAGACTTTTGCAGAGTGACTGTTGTTGTGACCGCCGGTTGGCTATATTTGACCGCTGCCAACACTAAACGTGAACAAACATTTCAGCTGCAAACACTGGACTAATATATTCACGCTTGGATTAATATATTTCGACCACCGGGGATCTGGGATACCAGGAAGATAGAACTATTCTTGGTGTGGTGGTTCAACGGAACACGCAAGTACGGAGTCTCCTATTTTGAACTGTGAGTCAAGACTTACTTGTATTTTTCCCTTTGTGACTTTATATCTGGCTTACATCAGTAATTTGTTCAGTTCACTAGACTCCATAGGGCCGTTAACCACTTCAATTTCGCAGGAACTAACGCGAGGGCAGAGTCTAAACTAATCGTACATGTAAGTGACAGATTTGTACACTAGCTCGCCACTTGTAATGGCGCTCCTGTCAGTTTCCATCCAGATTGCCTGAAGAAGTGTTTGCAGGTGTAGGCACCTGGGAATGAGTAGAGTTAGCTAGCACTAAGTCTCCTTCTCGTCCACTTTTATTCTTTTCTCCACAATAAGGCATGCAATAAAATCATGATTGTACGACAGCAAAGCATCAACGTTGAACACTGATGTCTTACGTTCGCTGAGCGTCAGCATTCCTTTAACCTTCTATCTACTTGCTGTTCTCTCGTAGCAACTCGTGTCGGGTAAGTACATGTCCGTACCACAATCGTACTTGGTGTCCAGTATTGAGCATTTGATGCGCATTGAGATTATACCTATTCGATTGTCATTTTCCGTTACAAATGGCGTGACGTGATTGTTAGTTTAACGTACAGCGCTAAATGCTCAATGTCTATCTCATAGAATTAGTGCAAGGTTTGCTGATAGCACGTAAGCGATGCAGCGAACTATTGACTTACTTTGCAAAACGAAATGAAGTAGCTCGTAGGCAGGACATATCGTTGAACCCGCTCAACTAACCACGGAACGAACTTGGCCGGATAAGCAATGGCAATAATGTCCGAGCGCGAAACTATGTTTTTCAAGTCGGTCGAAGCAACAAGATTTTCAGGAAGTTTAAATCCGGGAAAGTACAATGAATTGACATGTAATCGGTTGATGGAATCTGCCAGACATTCACCATCATATTTTTCGTTGTACACATACATCATTACCTACATCGAGTAAACTCGCTGAAATGCCTCCAATTTACACCTACTGTGTCCATGAATTCGGATGAATCTTTGATGTTCTGGGCTATCAATCGGGCAATTGCAGTAGCCCAAGCACCGCAACCGAGCACGGCCACCTGCTTCATGGTGGAAATTGCGAAAATGTAGGAACCCCCGCCAGAGTCCAAGGTCGCTATCTCAGTTCACAACGGAAAGCATGATGACTCAGTTCGGGAGACTCGCAGGATTTATATACTAGTAAGTAGTCTGATGGTGCTAGTGTCAGAAGAACATGTTTTGGATGCTGTTCAGAACTAAAAATACGGGAAGCAGTTGTTCCTTACCGCTGGTTGCAGCGTTTGTGACAGTGAAGCCAATAGGCGGTATATATTAGAAACGCTTTAAATTGTTAGGTAGCACACAAAGTTGCTGTTGAGCCTAAGCACATTTCAGGAGATTCAAGCGCTACAAGTGATCTTCCCCTGAAGTTGGGTGACCGTGTTTCGAACGAGTGCTCACGTTAGCTATTAACCCATGTTATTAACCCATATCTGGTTACTGAAGTAGGGAACAAACTAGGACCAGTGAAAGGTAGGTGTAGGTGCGTGAAAAATGCACCAAAATAATAGGATGAAAAATTTATGGAAGTCCGAAAAGCTAGGACGGTATGTTTTTGTAAATATGATACTAGGATATTTAGTCTTGTTCAGAGAATCTTGGAAAGGCCTCAGGAAGGGCAATCCGTGTGTAGTCCGAATATGGTATTACCGGTTAAGTGAAAGCTTGGGGGCATATATTCAATAAACAGTCAGCAACAAAACAACAGATAGTGGCCCACCAACTGGAGGAGTTCTGAATGTAACGGGTAGGTGGATCTGTACGTAAGGGTTTATTTTCACGACAGGTGAGCGGATTAAGCTGGACACTCATTCCCACGGGGAAGCAGTTTTCGAGAAACAGCTAAACGGGTTTTTTGGAAAGTGTGAACCTTCTCACTACTTAGCGTTATCTTTGGAGACCCTCGTGAATGGATCTATATCGACAATGAAGTGCTCCCCAGGACCCGAACTTTATGATTCCTCTCGAAGTCTTCAAGGTATTGGCCGCGGGGATTCACTTTGTGGGTACAGACGATAATATTAGTAGATGTGCTGTCTCGAAAGATGAAAAATCAGTCTGACAGCCATGTGGACATCTGTCCTTGGGAGAGCAAGTTTTGGTTAAACGAGGTGGTCTGGGTGGAAGAAGCGACAGAGAGACCTTAGATCCACCGACATCCCTTGAAAAGTCTCCACAATTTTTAGCCAGGTATGCAATAATTATTTAGTGTCCCAGAATAAACCTGATATAGCTGAATCCCGATATTTGTGAGATGAGAGGGTCAACGAATATAAGTCGGTGACGAGTTAGACAAACCGATCACGTGGATTTAACCGAAGTCTGAGAGCAAAGAGTGAGCGGAGGACAATTAGCGGATATTCGGAAATTCTCATTTGTGTGATACGAGGTGAAATATGCTAGGTCTTCGCATTTTTCGGCCAAAAGCAAAAGCGGGTGGTGATATGGGTTGCATGGAATCATATTCATTTTTGTTACCAGTGTTGTATCGCACAAACGCTTGAAAATTTCTCCCGCCCAATCTCCCTGAACTCAACCGCGTAAATTCAAATGTCCCGCCTAATCCTGCCTTCTATTCGTTGACATTTTCTTATTATTTCGTCACCCCATCTCTATCCCATCCATAAAAACATTGCGTTGCACAAACTACGAACATGTTCTTGGTTCCTAAAATGAACCGTATTATCGCTTGTTTAAATGAATATTCTGGGCACTTTTCGAACTGGTTTCTCACGCTTGATACTTGTCTCCGTGTTTGTCGTGGGTCTAACTGTTGGTCGATAACTGTCAAGGTTTGTTGCACATTAATTGATTTATTGATATTTTGTCATTGATTGCAGCACATTTTCGTCGGGATCACTTTCGTTTTGAATTCGGATCCATTCTTCGGTGCTCGTTGCTCGACTTATCGATTTTGTCGCTTACAAGTGTCTTGAGGAGTATGTTTTTGGGTTTGAACATGAGTGGTTCCCGATGGTCTTCCGTAAAATGCCGAGTCGCTGTGTCAAGACTTGCCAAGATATACATCCGGGGAAGGTTGAAATTCGAGCTGTGGTAGAGCGCGTAACGGTTTGGAAAGATTTATGGGAACATAAGAAACAAGCACTTCAGAATAGCTCCGAAGAGCTCTGCGGCATGGCTTCCGATTCAAATTGGAAACTTTAGGTTGTAGAAAAGGGTTTGCAAGTACAAGAGACCAGTGGTTTCAAGCATTCCTCACCTCTTGACCAGTATGAAGCGTTTTGAAAATCTTAGAAAAACAAAGGATGGTGAAACGGCTACCTAATTTTGATTCGGTCGTTTGTAAGAGACGACACAGTGATGAAATCATATTCAATAGGGTGCGTGATACTGTTGGAAAAATAATCGATAAGGAGGCCTTGCAGTTGATTTTGTCCATCAGCACACAGGGGGAACTTTATGCTTTGCGTAATAGTGAGCTTACTGGTTGCTGTGGCATCTGACGTTGCAGATGGGCAGATGATAGCTTGTTTTCAGGGTGAGACAAATTCCAGAAATGAAGAACGGGAATGAATGTGTTGCTGAGTGTCGAGAGCTGCGGCGCACATTAAGAAATCTCGAGATGGATAGCGTTTGCATGGGGTTTTCCCGGAGTTAAGTCGGGTTAGAGTTGGCCTGGTTCTGGAGTTGATAAACCAGCTGAATAATAGCGATGGGTGTTCGTCTTTGCATATGCTTTCCGGAGTATTTGGACAGCTGCAAATGGGAACTGGTGATACTCGCTAAATAGTATTAAGAGCTGGCTTCGTTATTCCATGTCGGATGTGGTTAAAAGTAGGGTTGGATTGGACACACGCTTTCGAGGTGTCCTCGGCCATTTTGGCTTCTTGTAAAAACCGGTTTGCAGACTCGAATTTCGAAAGTATTGGCCGGTTGTCTTAATTATTTTCGTGCCGGCTCTTCAGCTAACGAATATGGCCAAGCCACCGGGCTTGGTATGTCATTGACGGGTGGAGTGAGAAATTAAACAGGTAGATGCGTCGGATAATGCCGTATCTAAAAAAATTCTTGCAGCTCTCCTGGGGGAAATGTTGCGGGTGCCGTCAGTGTTGCCTCGGCGTTTGCCCGCCTGCAAAAATACTCAAAAAATTAAGGGGTGAGGCAAGTCACCGGACTTCATATGATGTATCAACTAGCATATGGGATGCCAGCGCAGAGTGGTAAGTTTACAGTGTCCGAGGGGGAATGGTTTGTGGCGTTGCTTATCATGGGGCGTCCGGACGCTAGAGCGGCATCCAATTGGGCCAGCAACATCCGCTCGGGCTTGAACTGAAACAGCCTAGCTGCTGCTTGTTGCAACTTACCTGTTGTAGAAGAGCAGGGCCAAAGTCAAATTTGAGGAGTCACTTATCCGTTGGTCAATGAGTGGTGTGCTGAAATATCCGATGGTCCTTGTCCATTATCTTGGAAGTTCTGGTTCCATTAGTTATCGTGTCTGTCGCTCTTTATTGTACCATTCTCTCGCACAACAAATTACCTCTGGCGGACTCTCACACAAACGGCTGCCTGCCTAACCCGCTGTAATTGGCCGTATCAACCAGGCTGACGGCCATTCCTTGCTACTTACCATCTCGGTTAAGTCCCACCCTAACAAAAACGATTATACATAAACATTATTGCCCTGGCCTTGCTTCTGCCTGTCGACTGACGCACAGGCTAGAAACAACAGCACTAAAGGTGCTTGCTTACTACATCGCTATTCAACTGGCCTCCATATTGATTTAACAAAGGCATACTTATTCCGGTTTGTTCAATGCCCATTGTTTTATATTAGAATTTTACTGGCACCCCTAACCAGTCTTTCGTTGCCAAGTTATTGATCCCAACCTATTTCTGTCCTGACTTATTTTACTGATTGCTGTCACCAACACAGCAGTGAGAAGCTCCTAATTATTTCCCATTATTTGGGGCCATGCCACCCAGTACCCCCTATATCAAACGAGCTTCATTGATCCATCCCGTTCGCTGTTCCTTCCAAGCTTCAAATCATGGCATTAGCCGCTATGAATGCCTTGTATAATAGCTATTTACCCCGCATATAACCGAATTCACAACCACAGTCCCTTGCTCCTTCATCGCCTATGTCCGATTTGTGCATATCCTCTTGATTCAATCGAAATTTTTTGTCCTGTCCGATCACTCCAACCATGATAGCCGTTACAGGGCTGTCCAGGAGACAAAATGTGTCAGTGCGATGCTGGCACGGCACTGCCATACCGAGTCCGATGGTATTTCCACGCCTGTTCTCTCCAATTATCCTCTCAGAACACTCACAGCGGATAAAGACAAAGTGCTTCGCTGAACGCAACCGCTCCTGGAACGCCATCCGATTTGTTTTTATCCCCTCAAACTTTCCCTTTGACTCAATCCTCTCGGTGCACTTTCAGTCTGTTAATGCTTTATTTCCTAGTTCGTATCGCATCCTGTTTGGTGGCGTTTGCTCAATATCACATGGCACTTTTTCTTTCGACTCCACTCAAAGAAGGACACTAGTGAGACCGCCAGTTTAGCCGTTAACATGAATCTGCGATCTGAGCTCCCACTATTGTCCGTTGAGAATTGTTCTACATCTTTACTTATTCATTTTGTGCAAATGGCCACAAACTCAGCTGTCCAAGGCCACGCGGTCCCAGCAGCGGTTTACAATTTCGGTCCAAATTGACCGGCTGAATCACAAAAATACTGTTAATTCTCCAAATTTTTGCTCTGTTTCTTCATTTCTGATATCTACTGTCTCTCGTTCGGGACCAGACAGGATCCTGTGCTTTGCATTCCCCTGTTTCGATATTGCTCACCATATTCGAATTGTAACGGTTTGACCCTGCTTCAGTTTGATATGTTTCACAAGAGGCGAGGAAAAACCTCAAAGCTCTGTTTATTCTCCCACGCCACATTTGGATCATGCCAGTCTGGTCATGACCCCGTCCGCATCGGATGATGTCCACCATTTGTGTGACCACTCTCATGTATCAGCTGTGACTTTAATCTGACAGTACTAATATGACAA